GCGGTAGCAGAGTTCCTAGCCGATCACCCAGTTGAAGGGGATGAAGCAGATGAGTGCCTATTCCAAGACGAGGCCAATTTGCATGTCGAAGATGAAACCTAGACGATGTACTTTGATGGAGCGTTAAACCAATACGGGTATAGGATAGGGATGTTGTTAATAGCACCCGATAATTCCCGCATACCTCTAGCTTTCAAACTCCGTTTCAATGTCTCGAACAACGAAGCAGAATATGAGGCATGTATTGCTGGTTTAGAAGCTGCCCTAGAACTAAGGTAAAACGGTTGGACGTCACCGGGGACTCGAACCTTGTTGTATCTCAAGCTAAAGGAGATTGGAAAGTCAAAGAAGAAAAGATGAGAATATACCAACAGACCTTGGACTTGTTGATTCCTCGATTTGCGAAGCTGAACTTCGCTCATCTGTTAAGAGAGAACAACAGGTTCGCAGATTCACTAGCAACTCTATCCTCTATGATAGACATCTCTTTTGGAGTCCGGATGCGTCCGATCATCATTGACCAGAAGTTTGTATTGGCCTACGAGCTGATTGCTACCATAGATGAGGTTCAAGATGAGAACCCCTGGTATTACAATGTTTGGAACTTCTTGGAAAAAGAGGCGTATCCACCAAGGGCAAATGCCAAGGATAAGAGGGCAATTCGAAAGATGGCTACTCAGTTCATCATCTGCGGGGGTAAACTGTACAAGAGAGGTCATCTGGGAATGCATAAGTTAAGTGTTGATGCTGAAGAGTCAAAGCACCTAATGGAGGCCATCCATGGAGGAGGGTGCGGAGCGCACGTGAACGGGGTGATGCTAGCTCTGAAAATCCTTGGACAGGGTTACTACTGGTCCACCATGGAGGAGGATTGTATTGGCTTTGTCCGGCGATGCCACAAATGTCAGATCCATGCAAACCGCATGAACATTCTGCCATCGAAGCTATACAACATGACTTCGCCATGGCCATTTTCAGTCTAGGGGATTGATGTGATTGGGGCTGTTACTTCGAAGGGGTCCAATGGGCATGAGTTCATTCTGGTCGCGATAGACTATTTCACAATGTGGGCTAAGGCCCAATCTTTTGCGGTGTTGAAGGCTTCGCATGTTGCAAAGTTCTTCCGGAACAACATCATCTATCGCTATGGGGTCCCGAACGATATCATTTCAGATAGTGGTTCCCACTTCAAGAAAGAAGTAATCGACTTGTTGGACAAATACAGCGTGGCTTTTCATAAGTCATGCACATATCGGCCGCAGACCAACGGAGCAGTTGAGGCCGCCAACAAGAACATCAAACACATTTTGCAGAAGATGGTGGAAACCTATCGGGACTGGCCAGTTAAGTTGCCGTTTGCTCTGTGGGGCTACAGGACGTCAATTAGAACTTCTACTGGGGCGACTCCATATTCATTGGTTGATGGAATGGAGGCCGTTCTACCCATCGAAATTGAGGTTTCGTCATTACGGGCATTGGCTGAGTGTCAGAAAGCTGAGGCAGATTGACAACAGAGCAGGTTCGAAGAACTCATGCTGTTTGATGAGCGAAGGCTGAAAGCACTGTACCATGTTCAGGGTTATCAATGCAGAATTTCCAGGGCTTTCAACAAGAAGGTTAAGTCCTGGAATTTGAGAAAAGGAGATTTGGTGCTCAAAGACAACCGAGCTCCCATCCATGACTCTAGGGGCAAGTTCAGACCCAATTGGACTGGTCCTTACATCATTAAGTCTATCTGGTTGGGTGGAGCTATCGTTCTGATGGGCCTAGATGGCCTAGAGTTCTCCCAACCAATCAACATGGACAAGTTAAAGAAATATTTTTCCTGAGTGGCTCGCTAGGCTGAAAACCCGAAAGGGCGACCTAGGCAAAAATTAGAGCACAAAAAATTTGAAATTATAAAAACTGAGCTCGCAAGGTTGAAAACCCACAAAGGGCGGCCTTGGCAAAAGTTAGAGCGTAAAAGGTAAGGGTTAATACACGAGTGAACCTGAGCCGAACTACATAAAGCTTGATTCCCATCTTTGGGATACGTAGGCAACTTCACTCCGAAGTCCAGCCATAAACACTTCCCCAATCAAGTTTTCCATGCGATCGCCTTGGTCATCTTTGTCTATTCAGCATTCAAGAGCTCGGTTATGATCTCCAGTGCTATGCTACTTAAACAAGGGGCAACTTTCCAGTTACTGGAATCCGAGGTTGTGCATCTCAGTGACAGATCTCAAGCGTGTCCAGTTCTGATCCATACCAAAAATGGTTTTGAAAAGTTTTAATAAAAGTTGATTTTGTTCAAATTAATCTATTTATAACTTAGACCATTTTTGGACCAAAACGGAAAATTTTCAGTACCCATAACCTTCAATTTCACTGATTTCAATATAGAATTCTGCTACTCTTGAACACAAATTGAAGTTGCTTTTCATTACAGTCACAAAGAAAACTTGAAAGTTCTGATTAAAGCAAATAAACCCGGGGCATAGTCAGGTGTTCCTGCATCCCCTCCTAGAGCTGGTCGAAGCCTCCGATGCCAAAGTGGGCCCTACCTGTGCCTCTTTATTGAGCCAATCTGTGCACTTATTAGAGAGGGTGTAGCTAAAAGTAGGAGTTGGGGACAGAAGCTCTCTCGTCTCTCTATGCTGTGGCATACCGAGCTAGCTGCACGCCTCGGACCGAAAATGTGGCACGGTACTCAATCCCTTCTTCCGAGCAAGTCTGATCATGACCGAACTGGCGCCGGAACCGGAACGAAAAATAGAAGACACAGTGTGTCATGCCAATCAACAAAATCCCAGGCTGACGAGTCATGCTGTAACTCATTGCCAGCAAGTTAAGCCAAGGGCAGTGCCAAGCAATATAGTCCGCAGACAAATTGCACATCCAATTGTACCACCATCCCTCATCCAGAGCATCGACTAAACGTCGTTGGAATAAATAGCTGCAAGCTAAAAATGCTGGACACAAGTCCACCACTCTCAACTTGTCCATCAACCATACCTGGGGAGGGATGAAAAATGAGAGATTCAAGAATAAAGAGGTGTACGTTAAGAGAAAAGTAAGAAAAGGGTTTTGAGAGAAAAATCGAGCCTGAGGGCTGAGTGATGTGAGCAATATATATGTGAGATGGGGTGGGAAACATTACCTGCAATAGTAGTGGACTTCCCGCAAACCTAGCCGTCTCTCGACGATGAAAAGCGTCTAATCCTATCAATGTCTCAGCCAATGTCATGACAATGCAACTCTTGCCCTCTCTTAAGCCCTTGGTGACTTCAATCAAACGAGTGCTAAACTCACCGGAGCCTGGGGCGAGCAAGAAATGAGACAACATGCACAGGCAAAGCGCATGTTGCCGATAACCCTGCCAATGATGGTCGCCACGGTCACCGGCATCAGAAAACCGGCAAACCAAGCTTGGAATGTCCAGCTCTCTGTCATGAATCAATGACCGAGCATCATGCAAAGTAAGGCCGCACATCTGTCCTAAGGCTTGGACATGGCCGAACCGGAGTTGAGGCAAGATTTCTTTATTACGCTCAGATTCCATCAAAGCTTGGAAATCCTCGTAAGTAGGACACATCTGTTGATCGCAAAAGCTAAAGACGTATGTTACCGAATTCCAAAATCTTGCCGCGGCATAGAGAAACAAAAAACGCAGCGGGGTACGACCCAGTCTGAATAGTGCATTTATGCCAAAGCCCTAGAAATTTAGCTTTTTCGAGCCATCCAAGCTGGCAATCCAATTTGTGAGATTTTGGACAAGGAACTCTTCCATTTGGTGCAAATCAGTGTTGAAATAAGAAAAACTGCGAAGCTGAGGCTTTTGTAGAAGATAAGGTGTTGAGTGGAAGACAGGTGTCAACATTCTGGAGGTTCTTGTCATTTTTTGGCCGATCGACCAAATATAGTGCCGACCGACCATCCCTTTTGGCCGATCGGCTAAACATGTTGGCCGATGGACATTTCTTGTGGCTGATGGCCTCTCCCCTTGTTCTATGAGTAGTCTATGTGTTGAACATGTTGGGAACTTGTGATTGGTTCCACTTCCAATGCCTTCCGGTGTTGATTTTGCGAAGTCGCGCTTATTTGCTTATCGAGTTGTCGTACATTTGTTTATCGAGTTGTAATTTGCATTCTTTAAGTCTTTGTTTTGCTTATCGAGTTGTATTTACACTTGGTTATTTTGTCAAGGTCTTTGTTTTGCTTATCGAGTTGTTTTGTCGTTAGTTGGTTCACTACCTGATTAATTGCAATTCGAGTGTTTGGTTTTCAAAATAAAAGTTCAAATCTCATTTACATTGTTATGTAATGCGATACAATGCAACGTGATGCGTAGAATGTACCAATGTAACACATTTTGAACAAAAATAGCCATTTCATTTCATCATATGTCTCTTTTGTAAAAAGTACATAGTTTTGAGAAAGTAAAACCTGCCTGAGGCAATACAATGTGCTCAAACTACCAATAAAAAGAAAAGTAAAACAAAAAAGGAAAAGCAACAAAATGTCTGATCAAAGCAAAAAGAATAAAAGCAGCAAAGTCTGGATCAATATCAATTGTCTCGAGCACAGGAATCCGTCCTGGTCCTCTTCCTGGACGAGGGTCCAGGATCACCACCACCAGCTCCGTAGTCAGAGTCTGAGCTGTCTCCGACCTCACCCTGGGACGCCTCAGCCTCCTCATCAGAATCATCGGGGGAAGGCTCTCGTGAACTGCTCTCAGCACGGGTGCGCCTGTGTCTGCCTCGGGTGTGAATAGTCATCCTCCGCCTGACTCCCCCTCCTCCTCGGGTAGGTACGGATGGTCTAGCTGGAGCACCTCCCGCGGCCAGAATTTGGAATGGGGCCTAAAAGGAACAAATGGCAAATGCATCAGTTATGCTACGCAAAGCAGGGTATGAATATCGAATACAGTGTGTGAGTACAATGTATGAATGCTCTGGGCAATGTGTGAATATAGTGTATGAATGCTATGAGCAATGTGTGAGTACAGTGTATGAATGTTGTGAGCAGTATCCGAGTATAGTGTATGAATGCCGTGAGCGATGCAGGGAGTGTCACGACCCAAACTTGCCCCTGTAGGTTCAGCACCGTAACTGGCCAGTAATCCATGGATTACCAAAGGCCTCTGAACAGATTAACAAATAATAAGGGGCTGCAGAAGCAATAATACAAAATAGACAAGGTCCAATGCGCTGTGATAACGTACATGGGACAGAACATTTCAAAACTTATATATATATATATATACATATGCATGCCAGTCAATAGACACCAATATTTACAAAATATTTATGTCCCAAGACCTGTCTTTACAAAACACATATAGAGACTAGCATGAATACAAAAGTAGCCATAGCATTAAACTTCAATCGGAACCTCCTCGAGAGGCACAAAGGTTGGCTGATGAAACAGTACAGAAGGCTGTCAACTCTGGCCCTGGTCATATGCCGGCTCACCTACATACATAATATAAACTGTGAGTGAAAGCCCAGTGAATAATAACAGAGTAAAGGGGTTATATGAATGATGTCCAGCACAAGTTAGAATCCAGCATTTAAATCAGAGCATAATCAGACTTCAAACAGAAACATATTCATATACATTTTCATATTCAGATTTTGCATAAGATTATATGTGGTACACCCATTAGCTATCAGATCAGATTGGTCCAGAGACCCACATACATAGTTGGTACCAATGACCACAAAGGTTCATATCTTGCGCGCAAGTAAGCCATGGTATTATTACCCCCAAACAAGGGCCACGTGCAGATTAGCCGCCGTATTGTTACTCCCGGGCGAGGGCCACATGCAGATTGACCACGGTATTGTTACCCCCGGGCGAGGGCCACGTGAACTAAGGGTGCCACAATTACTTTTCAGAAAATTGGACATTCATTCATAATTCGTAACATAGCATTTCAGAAAACAGATCATACAATACCAGTCAGAAAATACTTAAGTTGAACATAACTTTACAGAGTTATTACTCAGAGTGGGCTTGGAGACAGATAGACAGAGCAGATTGATCAGACAGGACGTGGCACGTGACTTACACGACACATAACAGATATACACTTGAAACACAGGTTCTAATTGTACAAAACTTATTTCGTTGGCTCTTAGTGTGTTTCTAATCTCTTATCCTCATTATGGGGTCTCCAACATGGCCTAGGAAAGCCTAGGATGGAATGAGGATACAAAAGTACATTGGAAAATATTTCTCAAAATTTGCTGAAAATAAGGTCCATGCTCGAGTGTGGATTTCCTCGCTTGAGCGGACATGCAGATAAGGAAGCTCCGCTCGAGCGTGGACTTCCTCGCTCGAGCGGACTGTAAACCATGACAAAAATGCTGGATGTACGATTTTCACGCTCGACGGATGCTCGACCTACGCTCGAGCGTGAGACTCAGACCCTCGCTCGAGCATAGATTCCCTCGCTCGAGCGGACTGCAAAACACACGAACTTCTGGGTATATGCATTTCATGCTCGAGCGTGACTCTTGCCGCTCGAGCGGAAGTGCATGTACTCAGGCTTCACGCTCGAGCGTGAAAGTCCTCGCTCGAGTGTGGATCAAATTTTTGGAAAATCCAGATTGACCTCCAAGCATGAAACTCGACCTCCAACCACCCAAAACTCATTTTTCTGGGCCAAATCTTTGGAAAACATTTAGTAACCCATAAAACAACATGTTTAAAGCTTCAATTCAATAAATCATGGCCCAAGAGTAACACAATTTGTGCAAAATCAACATGAACTCCATGAATATGCTATGAATCCAACATACAAGGACCCCCCTTGGATTCAAACCTTCCAAAACATAACCAAACTTAATAATTTGATGGAAAACAAGTTGAATGACCACAATGTGAGTGAAATTAACACATGCATGGAAGAAACTCTTGAAATCATGTTCAAAATGTGAAGAAATGCACATGCATGCATTATTTAAGCCTCAATTCCACATTTTAAGCCAAACAAGACTCTAATCTACAATGTTTCCACGAATCAAGCAAGCTACAACTCAATATCATAATTAAGGAGATGAATTCGCTAACTTAGGTTTGAATTCCAAGCTTAGTAGCCTAATCTTCGAAGTTGCCTTCAATCCCTCCAAATTCAAGCAAAATTCTAGATGATTCAATTTTGTTCTCTTATTCTCTCCCTCTCCTACGATTTGGTCTCCCAGAGAAGGCTGATGAGAGATGCCTCTAAATGTAATAAGGTGTAATTGGGAGTGGTCTCAATTCAAGTCACTAAGTGACATAAATGTAATAATACAAACTAGTGCAATTTAATGTTGTTTAATCCAATTTAATCTTACCAAGTCAATTTTTAATTAAACCCACCATAAAACTCTACAAATCCTAATTAGCATATAACACAAGTCAATTTCTGATTCGAATGCCGATAAGGCTTTCAATTTGCAGTTTAAAGTCAAAGACATGAACAGATCATTTTATGGCAAACAGATAGAAACACGTAAATGATGTAATACACATGCAAATAAATCCCAAATCCATCCTAATCTTCTACAAGGCATAATTAAGTGTGAATTAACATTAATTAGAGGTCGGGGTCATTACAGTGAGCAGTATGTGAGTTCAAGTGTATCAGTGCCGCGAGTGCTGTGTATCAAGTGCCGTATCGACAATGTTGTATATCAGATCAGTATGAAACAAATTATGCAAAGTTTGAGACTGTGGTTGAAGGAACTTACTGGGATGCCGTAGATGGTCAATAAGTCGATGCTCCGCTGCAGCATCCCCATCACGGAAGCAGTCAGCTCCAGAGACTGCTGAGTGTACTCGATGGAGGCCTGCAAAAATGTTGAAGTCATTAGTATTCTGCGGAATATCAAATGAAATGAAATAACTGTACAGAATGCAAAGTATAGTAGTGCATACTGGGTCGAGCCGTAGACTCCGATAAGTTCATGATCAGCCGGAGGAGGAGCGATGGGTATCTGGTACATCTCCCCACCCTGTCCTCGGCATGTCATCGTCGTAGGCAACTCTGGCCATATAGCTTCCTGTCCTCTCCGAGACCCACTCCTCCCACGGGCCTGAGTCGCCCTCGATGCTTCTGCTCCTACCACTGGTGCCGCAGGCCTCTCTCTCTCTCGGCTCAGCGAGCATCGGTCAAAAGCCGCCTCAGATAGGCCTGGATAAACTCGTTGTAGTCGCTCTCGTCTCTAAAGGGCTCAGAGTCCCAACCCAGCGTGTAGTCTATCATCTCCTCTAAGGTATACCTCTCGGTGTGCCTCGTGTGGGTAGGAGGAGGTACTGGAACTGTCTGCTCTGGCAAGCCCAAGGTCTGCCGCAAGAAGCGCTCCCCGAAATACCATGCCTGACAGACCGGGCCCTCTAGCAGAATCTTGAAATAGGCAGTCTCCCGAGCACCTCCGTACCCTCTCTCACTCTATCGGGCAACATCGCCTCGGGCTACCAAGTGATCTGCAAATGAAAAAAGATACAGTTTGTTAATCTGTTATTGAAATTATAACGTAAAGCGAAGCTTAGATGAACTGAAAGGTTCGAAATACCTCTGCAGCAATGATGGTGTCAAAGTATCGGCGGAAGAACAAGAAGGACTCTCGTGGCCTCCGCTCGCACCTGACGTCGAATCGGTGAGAAAAGGGAACCATAGGGGGCATCTCCTCATCCGGCACTGGGGCAAGCCTAGGAAAGTAGGCATACACCCACAACTGTAGAATGTAACAGGGCAAATATCAGAATGCTTATCAGATAAAGCAGAATGCAGATAAAGCAGAAATCAGAGAATGTATGTAGTGTGTTGTGCAGTGTGTGCAGTGTACAGTTAATGTAAAGTAGATTGCAGGTTTGCAGTGTGTGCAGATAATGAAAAGCTGAACTGAAAAGACAAAAAAGGAAAGTATACCTCCCAGGCTCGCCAGTAGCCCCCAAGTAACTGTCCACTGCGGCGGGAAGATGGGCTCATATATCCATCGAGAGTGGCCAAGCCTGCGCCACCCCAATCATAGCGTTGGATCCGGGTCACGTCCACCAGTGCGCTCAGCAAGTAGAGGGCGATAGTGTTCGCTCGATCGTCGAAGAGTGTGGTCCCCAGCAGGAACATGATGAAGCCGCGAGCATACTGCTCCACCTCCTCCAAAGTCGTGGGCGTCTGGATCCTGAAGTGGTCCTCAAACCAAGAGTACCTCACAAATCCTATACGGGAGAGAGGGGGCTGAGCGCCATGCAAGTAAATCTGTGCGGCATCCCAGTCGTCCATATCGGTGTCAAAAGGGATCAGATCATAGGACAGATGTGACTCTGGCTCACGCAACAAAAGCTCCAGTGGCGCGCCCCTCGCATAGCCCCTGAAGTGGCGAATGTCGTCGGGAGGCAACACGTGAATCACTGGCCTGTAGGTCGCCGGATCGAATGGTCGAATGCAAAGAGGTAAGAGCTCGATCTCAGGGTCCACGTCCATCTCTGGGGGAGCCCCACCCTGTGGAATGTCGTCTGCCATCTCAAGAAGAGTGCAAAAATGGCTGAAAGTGTGAAAAATGGGTGAGAATACAAAAAGTCAACCCAAAAGTCAACCCCGAGGGGTGAAAAATGGGAGAAAAAGTCAGAGTGTGGAAAAGGCACGAAGATCGAGGTATAACTCGAGGGAAACAAACCCCAAATAGTGGAAACCAAGAAAGGGACACCGAAAATAAATTTCGATCCATTCAAAGTGTGCAAAATGAGAAGGGCTTCGCAAATCGAACGACGAAAAAGGCTCGAAAACAAGAGAAAAACATGGATTGAAGCAAAAAAAATCACCTAGAGAGAAAGAGGGAGGATTTTCGAGCTTGTAGAAGTGAGGATATAAGGTTTGGAACCTTATATTTAAAGACCTGTGGCTAAAAGACAAAACTGCCCCCGAAACTGCCATTTTTGGCCGATCGGCCAAATTGTTAGCTGAGCGGCTAAATGTTTGGCCAATGAGCTCATTTTGTGGCCGATGGGTGGCCGATGGACTCCCCTTGTGGTCGATGCACCTCCCACACCCTTGGTTGGGTCAGTTACGTTGTTTGGGACCTTCATTTCTCAAGACAGTGCAAGAAAGTAGACTTTTGAAGCTCAACCGGCCTTCGTGTTGACCTCAAATCGTGCCTTCCGAGTGCGGCACTTGATACGTATGAGGTGTATCCTTTTTTTGTATCCTTTTGTCTCATGCGAGATTCAGAAATTGCTTTAAATACGTTGCATTACAACGTTTTGTCGTGTTTATAATGAGCGCGCATTGGTTATACATCAATTCCCTCTTGCATTGCTATGCACGTACTATATGCGTTGTAGCGCACACCTCTTGCTTTGTTATGCACGTACTATATGTGTTGTAGCACACACCTCTTGCATTGTTATGCACGTACTATATGCGTTGTAGCGAACGCCATGCTTGCATTGTTATGCACATCTCTTATGCGTTCCCTTAGGTCGCATTGTCTTGCGCCCCCTTCATCCGCGTTGTTTCGCATATCTCATTTCCATCATCATACATCTTATTATGTTACATGCGTTGTCATGCATTTCCATACTTACATTGTCATGCACGTCATTTGCATTGTCATGCATTTTCATACTTGCATTGGCATGCACGTCATTTGCATTATCATGCATTCTCATACTTGCATTGTCATGCACGTCATTTGTATTGTCATGCATTTTCATACTTGCATTGGCATGCACGTCATTTGCATTGTCATGCATTACATGCTTGCATTGTCATGCACATCATTTGCATTGTCATGCATTCCTAGCTTGCATATCTCATTTGCATTGTCATGTACGTCATTTGCATTGTCATGCATTCCTAGCTTGCATATCTCATTTGCATTGTCATGCACGTTTCATTTGCATTGTCATGCATTTCTATACTTGCATTGTCATGCACGTTTCATTTGGATTATCATGCATTTTCCTACATTGCATTGTCTTGCACGTTCCATTTGCATTGTCATGCATTTTCTCACCTAGCATTATCTCACATATTTCATGTGTATTGTTTTGCACCCCATGTAATGGGCATTGTCTTGCTCGTTACGTGCATTGTTTTGCACCCCCGATAACTTGTATTGTCTCAAAGAGTTGAAACGACAGGTGACCGTCGCAACTCGTCATGGGACTACCTTTGACGGCCAGCGAGGGATAATCTCCTTCGGAAGCTCTGCCAAGGCCGAGGCAGAGTCTTTAAGAGCTTTGAAGAAGTAAAGATGAAGTGAGGCAGCTGATGGTAAAGTCAGGCAACGAAACTGTGTGCAAATGAAGCTGGTTGTAATCTTCGCCGCCGAGCTACTGCCGAAAAACTGAGAAAATGCTACTCTCTCTTTTTTGTTTTTTTTTTGTTTTTGTTTTTGTTTTTTGTTTTTGTTTTTTTTTTTTTTTGGTTTTGTTTTGTGTCTCTGTGATCGGGGATGTCCTTCCCTGACTACAATAAAATCAGTTTAGTTTTTGCACATCGATGGCGTGACTAGCATATCACTTTGAACTTGAAAACATTTTTGTTTGATTGAATTTGAGAGTAATCGAATTTTGAACTTTGAATTGAACATTGATTCTATACTGACCTGAATCAAAGAATGACTTAACGAAAGAAGAACGAAGCAAAAAAAATCCAAACACACTTATATACACGGACTGGTATGAATACACCGACTGGTATAAATATACTGACTGGTATGAAAGGAACACACTTATATACACTGACTGGTATGAATACACACTCACATACACCGAGGAGTTGACTCGAGTGGTGGAGAAGACAGAATCTCTAACTCGACTATGC